TCGTGGTGCCGTCCGCAAGGGTGGAGAGGGGGGTCTGCGCCCACCAGGGGGACCCCATGTCCATAGGTCCCCGCTGGTGGGGGCGACATAAGGAAGAATGCCGAGGAGGACCGGCCAAGGAAGACTGGCCAGAAAAGGCCAGTTGGGGTGCCACCAGCACCTCCTGCGAAGAGGCTTGCGCACAAGGGTAGACCAACCGAGGGTGGTGTGCCGACCAAGGGGGGGGGAGCGCCTGAGTCGTCTCTACTGCCCGTAGTGGGGCATCCGCGAGGCAGACTCAATTGATACTGAGGGCATTGACAGGGCCCTCGTCAAGGGGGTGGCCACTCTGGGGGACCGCTTAGACATGATGCAAACAGACCCCACTGCCATCATTGACGAGGGGATGGACTTCTTGGCCGAGGTGAGTTTCTTTCTTTTTTTGGTTTGCTACTTGCTAGATTCTACTAGCTTTACTGATGGTGTGCTTGGTGCAGGTCTGTCGTCACTATGTCGGGCTCGGTGACCGCGTTCGCCTCCTTCTCGAGCGTGTGACTCGGCACGAGAAGAAGAATAAACAACTTCAGGTGTGGGTGGCTTCGGCGGAGAGCAGCCGAGATGAGACCCTCGTGTTGCTGAAGGAGGAGAAGCTGCTTCGGTTGAGGAGGTCTGAGGCTGAGGCTGAGGCAAAATACTGGGATGTTGTCGCTGTTTGGTAGCAGACGCCGGAGTACCAACAGTGCCTGGCGCACTATGGATCCACAGCCTACTTGGAGGGGATTGACGACACCAAGAAGGCTCTTTTGAAGATGGCGCCGAACTTCCCCATGGAACAGTTGCAAAGGTGCTCCCTAACTCTCTCACCCTGAGGACAAGATCGAGGTTACCACCGAGGTTGCTGATGCAAGCGTCTAGGATCCTACCATTTCTCCAACCGAGGGCGAGGCCTAGCTAACTTTAGTTCTTGTTTTTGTCTCTATTATAAGTGTGTTCGGCCTTAAGGGCAAAAAATTTTGTAAGTTGAACTATGAAATGAGATGAGCATTTTTTCGTATACTTTTGTGTCTGTCTAAAAGGGTCACAAGTAGACAAAAAATAACCCAAAGTGGCTCGTTAGACGTTCGCCTTAGGAAATTAGCTTAACACACTTATTCCCTTAGGCGAGGCCGTGGTGGACCTCCGAGGTGATCGGGGTCACGTGCCATAGTGAACTGCCGGGACGGTTGGGGTTACTATCCTCTTTCCCTTGTTGTGTTGTCGTGGAGCCGAGGTGGCCACTTGTTGCCGAAGAAGTCACCAAGTTGTGTATCTTGTGCCTTTTTGCGGTTGTGTTTCTTCTTGCGTTTCTTGTGTAGGGATTGATGCGCCCTTTCGAGAGGTTGCAAGTTGCAAAAATTCATTGCTTAATAAGCCATCTACTCAATCACCCAGGTGGGCCGGTGCCACTTCTCGAGCCTGGATGAGGACTCGCTCGTTTGGAGGGTCTCTCTGAGGTCGAAGCCAAAATCAAGGGCCTACTCGTCAGCTGCAGCCGAGTTCCAATAAGTTCCTTGTTAGAAAGGATAAGTAGGCGTGTGACCTCCAACGGGCCATATGCCTTGGGCCAACGTCTAGTTTGGGCGTGTAACCTTGGCAAAGGTTGTATATCGCGGCCAGGCTGTTGAGCGAGGTGGGGGACTTGGTGACTAGGCGTACGACCTCCGAGGGTCGTGTGCCTTGGATCGAGGTTCAGTTCGAGCGTGTAACCTTGGCCAAGGTTGTATGCTGTGAAAGGGCGCTTGGTCGAGACGAGAACATATACGCTGAGGGTTTGAGTCATGGTTTCCTCCGCTGTGATGTATGTCTATGCCTTTAAAAATTCTGCCTTGGCTCTAGGCGACGTCTTGGTGACAGAGCACTTAAGGGCCGACCCGGGGAGGAGGCCTTGAGTTGTTGCGTTCATGGAGGTGTCACCTCGGCTCTCCTTGACTTGATAAAGTTCGTCCTTCACCGTGCCGAGTTGTGCTTGTATATCGGCAATCTACTAGCCGATGGGTACCTCGACTTCTTCCCGTTCTCCTCGGCAGTGGGATGGACCGGCTACATCTCGGTTCCTTTTGGCCCGTTTATCGTTGAGGTAGTCTCGAAGGTTCGATGTGCGAGGTGGAGGTGGCATTTCTTGTTGGTGGCAGTGTCCTTGGCTTTGACATCGGTTGCAAGACCGTACTAATTTGTTCTCCCTTCGGTTGGGAGGTCTTGCGTGCCGAGGGGGTTGGCTCGCACGTTGGCTGCTACCAGGTTTGGAGGGCTTAGCCCAGTGGAAATCGGCGGAGCCGAGGGATAGCGGGTCCACAGACTCGCACTGCCCCCGCTGGCCTGATGCTCGAGCGGGGCAGCCACCCTGAGGGCAGCTTCCTACCTGGGGACACACCTCCTCGACATACCGGGCGAGGTGGTCCAATCGGTCTAGGACCACTTGGAATTGCTCGTTGGTGACTAGGTTTTGAGCATTCCTGGTGTTTCATACCATGTTGAAGGAAGTCTTGATTGCAAGTAGACCTGTTCATGGGCCGGGTAGCCCGATGGCCCGGCCCGCACCCCGGTCGGGCTTGGTCATGTAATTAGGCCTGCGGGCCTGACCTCGGGCCTAACACAGTAAGCCCGACTGTGTTACAGGCCGGGCTCGGGATTTGTCAAAAAAGCCCGGCCTGACTCAGCATTATATATTTTATAAAATATATAATATGTATTTTATATATTATATAAAATATATAAATAATATAATATTTATTGAAATATATATTTATAATTTAGTATATACATTTTTTTATTTTTTCTTTATAATTTCTCTCTCATTCTTTCTCTCTCTCTATTCAGCCACTTTAGTAGTAGTAACAACATGGGCTAAATTTCGGGCTTGGGCCTAGGCCCGGGCTTCGTGCTTTTTATGAGGGCCGGGCTCGGGCCCAAGTTGTAGGCCCGATGGTCGGGCCGGGCTCGGGCTCGGGCCTTAGAAAAATCTGTTAATACAGAGTGAAAGCCCGGCCTTGCCCGACCCATGAATAGGTCTAATTGCAAATTAGATTGAAGGAAGTCTTACCGACGTTCCCACAGACGATGCCAATTGTTGATGCTCGGATTGGACATGGTCAACACTGTCAATTCATCCCCACGTCCAAGTAGATCCAAGGTATTGGAAGTCCAAGGACAAGCGTGGCCGAGGAGTGGAGTCTGAGATGAGGGAAATCTGTGGTCTATGGTTCGATATTCGCTGTGTCCGGTACCCGAGGTGGATGAGGATCCTGGTATCGGTTCTGCAAGGAAGGAGAATGTCAGAGGCCTCGGGTGATGACCCGAGGCGAGGACTCCGATGGTCAAGTTAGTAAGAGGGTATGAGGTGGACAAGGTCTGAGGTGTGAACACCTAGACGAGGTCACAGGAGAGCAAGTAATCTCAAGAGTGAACTAGAAAGCTGGAGTATTCCTCCCTTTACCTGGAGGGGGTTGCTTCCTATTTATACTTGAGGCTGTTAGGGGGTAGGTGACCTTGGATGGCTTGGATGCAGTCCATACCGAGGGCATGATCATCTGGGAGCGCCAGGTGAGGGCACGCGATTGTCTCCGCGAGGCCTGCCAAGCCCAGCCTAGTGTGCGCCTTGATTCATCTAGCGTGAGGTGCTGACATTGGCTCTACTCACAACCCGATTGGTTCCTTTCTGTGCTTCACCGCCTGACACGTGTAGGCTCGCCTTTGGTCCAGTTGTATGCGCCTACAACAGTGCCAATTCCTTCCAAATGTTTCATCTGGTATGGTCCACGCTGTATCCAACTTGTTTTCATCATTTTTATCATCAGCTTATTCTCCTTTTACCCTTATTTTCTTCATTTCCTAGACTAAAAACAAGGGCCCCAACCCTATATTTTCTAAAAGTTCTTTTCTTTTCCTCATTTTATCCTCCTGAATATGTTTCTATGTTTTAATATGAAGCTTATGTTTATTCATGAAGATTATAGATAATTACCAATGAAACATGGTTGCTGGTTGCTGTAGGATGTAGGGAATTTCCTTAGGATTAATGGTTTTTCTTTAAAAAGTTTCATGGCTTAGGCAATCAGAGCTTTGATTATAACCTTTGGTCAATCATTTTCTCTCAAAGTTCCTGAGGTATATAGTTTTTGACCACCAGCTTAGGTCCTAAAAGACCGCCACATTAGTTTCTTTCAAACATCCACGCCATCTTTAGGCGGCAGTTCAAACCTATATGACCGCCGGCTTAGATATTATATGACATATTGTTTATGGCAAAGCTGGCGGTTGGATGACCGCCGGCTTAGATGTTTTTTTTTATATTTTTATATCAGGTTTATTCCAACAAATTTTTTTTTTTTTTTGCACTAGCACTTTTACTAATTCATCACTTTAATACCTGCTTAGTGAAAATCTCATGATAATTAAAAATAACTTAAATAAAAATGTAATTTCAAACAAAATTAATGTATTAAATTAAGAAACTAATTATTATTATTTCCAAAAGAATTAATATCCAATTGACATAAAAAATACAAGGACTTAAAAAAATTCAATTTGTCAAATAATATAACGCATCTTCCTTTCTTTCCACTTCTATCATAAATTAAGATATCTAATAATCTTTGTGCTTTATTCTCCTGATTGACTCCAACAGATATCCAATCTCTGCTCAGCTTTAAATACAGCACTGCATAAATTATAAAATGAACCAAAATGTCCAATAGATTGCATCAGATCTACATAGCTTCAATAAATAAAAAAGGAACTATATGAAATCTGTTGCGCTGAAAACTCAAAATATTTGCATATATAAAATAACTAAAGACATAAATATAGTACATAATGCTAACATGGTTTATATCCAGAAATAAAACAATTGATAACATAAACTTATGTGAACCTACCAAAGAAACTTTTGTTGGTTGTTACTTTGTTTGATTTGATGGGAAGAAGATGAACTATCCTAGTCTATTTTGGTCAACCAACAAAATTATTGTCTTTACTCTATAGATACAACTTTTAATGGCCAACAAAGGGAAACTTTTAAACACAAAAATACCATGTCAACAAAATTATTGACCATCCTTAGACGTATTGGCTTCACCATAAATTCCTCTGCCCCTTCTTCTAAGCACCTGCTCATTTCAGACAAAACAGAACATAAACCAGCTGCTAACATCTCCAAAATGTCCTCTTCTAACTGTCAAAGCTAATAAACTAAATGAATTCTTCTCTCGAACTGTTTTAAACAGAGATTAGTGATTGTCCCAGCAAATAATCCAGTGACCATACCCACTCAGATGCATCTTGAACACTTTTTGTTTTATAAATGGACTTGACAGTGTTTCAAGCATGTTTCTATTTATATACTTCAATTTTGATTACTAAAAAAAAGTGTAATGATATATTTAATTAAGATACCTGTCAATCCGAGACAAGATATTTTCGGATGACATAATCACCAGAGGTATCTCTTTGAAGGTCGAAGATTCCTGCATATAAAGATTAAGGAAATAAGTAATTACCGAATTCAGTATTTTTCGAATTAATCCGTTGAAATGCTATAAGAATATATATGAATTGAATCTAATTAACCTTGATTTTCTTGAGCAACTCATATCCAGAATCAATGATTATCATATTCACCTTCAAACCCTGCAAATAATATTAGATGAAAAGAATAAATCACTAAAAAATAATTTCAATGAATCATTTATATTGCCTACAACTTACTAAATTCTCTTACACCCATGCCGACTGCAGAGTTTTCTTCCCCATCCAAACCCAGAAATTTTAGAGCACTCCTTCCGCTATCCACGACAGTAACTAAGATTTCAACAATATTTATTTAGATAACAAAAAAAAAAAGTTCAAAACAGAACACTACAAAAACGAAAAGAACAAGATGAGAACCAAATGCAATGAAGAATAATCTGAAAATGACCTTTACAAGAAGAGATCTTGAGCAGACGCTCAATTACTTTCCGATCAACAAAACTATCGTCAACCGCAAGAACATGTACTTCATCAGATTCCGCTGACGACAGTGAAGGATCGATTTCTTCGTAACACTTCTTCGTAAAAAAGTTCAATGAAACAAAAATGAAGGAAGATCATACATACCTCTCTGGAAATAAAGGCAGATCGATGGATTTGGAAAATAAGGTCGGATCTCTCTTCCGACGAGGGAAGCGACCTAAAATCGAAAAGAAAATCAAAATGAGAGTTCAACTTCAATGATCTAATCGAAATGAGAATATATTTTCCTCTCTCATTTCCAAAGATCGAATGTAGAAATTGTTACCTCTGTCGCAGAACCGTTCTCTTCTCTATAGAACGCTCGAAGAGGATTTTGGAGAAAACAATCAAAACCGATGCGATGGCTTTGACTATTTACTTCATCTTGTCGAACAGAGAATGGCTCGAAGAGGACAAAGTTCTCTTTGCAAAGAACCTTTGTCTTGTCGAACGGAGAATGAAGATTTTTACCTCCCCGCGCGCGTTTGAACAGAGAATAAAGATTTTTGCCTCCCCGCGCGCGTTTATTATTAGACCGGTTTAAATTTGGTCTGTTGTAAAATCTGTCGTACATATTCTTATGGACCGCCGCCTTATTTTCTAAAATAGATGTAGGCGTCGGTGTTTGGAGTTGTTGATTGTAATGTGTTTCTTTATGACATAGGCGCATGTGGCAAGGCCTAGGATGGCGCCACGTGGCATCGGCCGGATGCAATCCTGCTCATCACCAACCACCTTCAACTATTCTAAGGCAAGGTAAAGTATAAACAGGGGTCTCCTTCTCAGGTATGGCCATCTTGCTCCTCATTGCTTTATAGCTCTTTTGCTCTCGAGTGATCTCGTTTGAGTCTTTTCCTCAAATCTTGTCCGACTCCTTTGATATATTTGATTAACTTGACCATCGGAATCTCCACCCCTAGGATAACATCCGGGGCCTCTGACTTGTTCTTTTATCTTCAGGTTGGACATATTGGCCTCGGCTACAGGAAGCGAGTTTACCTTATTGCCCTTGACCCATCCTTGATAGCAACACTTCATATAAACTATTAAATATCTATTTATATATAATGCATTTATACTTTATTCATGTTATTTCAACTTTAATCTTAGATTTAGTATTATTAATGTATTAGTGTGACTTGTATAAATTTACTAATGTATGTAAGCATATCCTTATCTTTATGCCAAGTTGATTCACATTAAATCTCAAATCGATCTATTTTAATTTGAATCTTTAGTTGTGTCCGCTTTATCTATGATTCAAGACTACATATACTTGTCAATGTCATACAACTCTTCCTTTTATCTTCCTAAAGCGAAGTTCTGACTCTATTAAGTTGGCGGAGTATGTTGGAGGTGAGAAAGGACTTACTAAAGGGTGTTCGTCTGATTGTTTGAAATGGCTGGGATATACATATCTTTGGTAATCCGTTGTTGAAACCCATCTTACAACCTCTCTCTGATGATGAATCTTCTCTAAATTGGAAAGTAGCGTCCCTCATTGACTTTGAACCAAGGTTTTCAAAACCGTCCGTTGTTAAAAAAATAAAAACCGGCCAAACCGTTGAATGGTTCGAACATGCAGGTCAGCGGTTTGTTGACCAAATCAACGATTTTGGGGGTAATAATGATTCTAGGGTAAAATGGAACCGGTCACTTGACTGGTTCCTGGTTTTTCTGGTCCGACCATCCGATCTAGTCTGGTTTTGAAAACTATGCTTTGATCAGAACAAGTGAAAACATGACACATCTCAAATTTGTTTGACAGTAGTACTACCCTTCGTATCTTGGAAATTGATCTCCAGTCACACCCCTACTCAGATCAGGATTGTATTGTTTGGACACTGACTCCACACGGCAGATTCACGTATGCTTTTGCTTATATGAAGTTCCAACAAGATATTTGTATTGGGAATTGGGGTCACTGAAACTTGGAGGAAAAGTTTTAAGGCACGTCTGAAGACACTGTTTTTAGAACGTTATTTGCCCTCACTCAGTTCCACTCAGTTTGCTGTTGGGTTATAGGCAAATTTGTTCCCAGGATACAACAGAGTCTTGAGCGTAGGAATGGCAACGGGGCGGGGCAGGGACAGAGAGCCCTCGTCCCCGCGAAAATCCCCATCCCCGTCCCTGCTAATGGGGACAGGTTTATCCCCATCCCCGTCCCCATGGGGATCCCCATTTCTCGTGATTTTTTAAAATGTTAACCATTTTGTTTTTGTTTTTATTTTATTTGAAAAATAAAAATAAAATAATTAAAATTTACAATCCTATTAGAAAAGATTCAACCATATTTTTATAAATATTAATATATAGATGTATGTGTACATATATACATATATAACATATGCATACATATATACATATATATTAGTGAGGGTCGGGGTCCCCACTGGGCGGGGAGTGCTCTCCCCGTCCCTGCCCCACTCCCGCTAACGAGGATGAAAATTTGCCCATCCTTGTCCCCGCGGGGGAAAATCATCCCCATCCCCGCCCTGAATGGGGCAGATCCCCACGGGAATCGGGGAAATGGAGAAAATTGCCATCCCTAGGCGAGAATTTGCAACTAGCAAAGTTGAAAGAGTCTTCGAAGAAACTTTCTATGATACGGTAACAGATCGGGTTGAGAGAGACATGAGTGATTTTGAAAATTTGTGTATGCAATTTGCTTGATTCACGCTCCTTAAATAATTTCTGAAAAGTCATGGAGCAGAGAAATGTACTGGTTTAAAAAAGGCTCATTGAACAGTTAATAGTGCGCAAAGTGCGAGCAAAGTGTGCCTCTCTTAAGTGCCTTATTGCGCCGCATACACACATGTGCACGCAATGCACTGTAGCAAGCCTCCATACTCTCATCTTTATTTTTAAGGAGTTAAATGAGCTATATATTATTTAAAAATTCAAAACAAGTCTTATAATTTTTCAATGTAGGACAAGTTAAAAACTGGTTTTAGTAAGAAAAACTAATTTTCAAGATATATGTGCAATGTATTTTTTCATGTAATTGATCAATCAAATCCCATTAAATTTAATATCTAATGAGATTAAAATCTAACAATTTGGCTAGCTACTCATCTAATGACAACACTTTTTGGAGACTTAACGGCTTGACTCCTCGAATCCATACTTTTATTTGGCGTTGCATCACTCAATCCCTTCCCATCTTGCATGCCCTCTCTCGATTTAGTATTAAAGTGGAAAAGGATTGCCAATATTGTAAGGACGTTGAGGACTCGGAACACATCTTTTTTTCATGCCCAATTATGAATTTGGATCTTGTGTAGCAATCTATACGCACAAAGGACCATCCAACTTGTTGGAAGTTAACTGATTGGTTGGCTTTCTGGTGGAGTTTAATGAAGGATTCACAAGATGGGGAGCTGTCCTTCAGCAAGTGTGCATATGGTTCAAAGTATCGATATGTATCTATGTATTGGCAGAAGGGTAGGCATAATTTTTAAATTCGGGCCGGATTAGACAGTTGGGATCGGTTTCATTTTACCTCAGAACCGTTATTTCTTCTAAAATCATTGATTTTGTCAACAAACTGCTAACCCGGACGTAGGTACTTTGATACAAGCGGAAACACTTTTTTTTTGTTTGTTTTTTTAAATTTAATTTTTAGAAAGATATTTAAGCATATTTTTTATTAAAAAAGAGTGGATATTTGGAAAGCTCGCTGCAAACATGTTATGGAAGGTTGTTCCATAATCAACGCTGCCCACTCTTGACTAATTTATTACCTGAAAGGACAGAAGCCTCTCTATCTACAGGTCCCAACTTGCTTCAGTCTATGACCCATTGGATTCCTCCAGTCCTCCTACTGCTGTTTCCTAAAGATAAATGTAGATGTAGCTCTTGGCGTCTCTCAACGTGGTATCGGTATGGTAATTCGAGATGAGAGGTGTAAAGTGGGCTGTGTCCGTGGGTGGACCGTGCCGTGTTGGCCCATGGATCGTCACGGGCCAAGTCGCTTTTTTTAGTGGAAATTTTGGGAGTTGGCCTGGCATGGTTCATGGTCTAGGCCTAGGCGGGCCCGTGCTGTGCCATGTTGCAGGCTTGGGCCGGGCTGCAGGCCGTGTTGGGCTGGTCCACAGGGCGGGCCTTGGGCCTAGACCAAACCGGGCTGTACTGCTTTTTTATTTTTTTTGAAAATTTTGATTTCTTTTCTAAGTAAAATTATAAAATTAAAATATTTAACTTTCCTTTGAACTTTGGAAATTGAGAACTATTTAAAAAATTAAGAAATGAGAAATCTAAGTTATCTAACACATAAATGAAAAAAAAATACTTAGCCAAATTGAAATAAGAACGATGGAATAACAAATTGGAAGAAAAGTAGGAATTTTATTTCATTTAAATTTGAATGGTACAAATTACAAATACAATGATCGGATCATTGGATACTTGGATGAATGAAATATGAAAATGGAATAAATTAATAAAATATAAAAAATACAATATGATTACAAATTGAAAATACAAAATTACATTGTTAAAAAATTTAAAAAATATATCAAATAAATTAAATAAAATTAAAAAAATTATAATAATTTGAAAAATAAAAAATTCTATACAAGTAGTCAAATTCATGAATCATCATTCATGACTTCCATCATCTGCTTTGAGTGAAATATCCGGTGTAGTATCATGCCCTCCCTTGTCTTGTAATCTATCTTCTGCATTTAGCCAATCCTTGAAGTAGATGCACATCTCTATGCTCTCATCGTTCATGCAACTTCTTTTGTCATCCAGTACCCTGGTACCTGAACTAAAGCAAGACTCCGATGGAACTGTAAACATCGGAGGGGTTAGTAGATCATGTGCCATGGCAGCAAGAATTGGATAATTTTTTGAATATTCACTCCACTAGGATAAAATATCAAAATTATTTGATCCTTTACCTAAATTAGAAAAATTTGCTTGTAAATAAAAATTAAGTCCAATAAATGAACTTGTTGTAGAACTAGCAGATTTCTACCTTCTACATATTAAATAAAAAACTTTTTCTCTTCTACTACTGGGCTTAAGGTCAGAAGTAGAAGAAGATGATGAGCAAGTTGTAGGAATATTTCCTACAATTTTAGATTCATACAAACTGCATGTCATATCAAATAATAAATTATTAATTTCTTCTTTTTTATTTCCTATATCAATATTCATATTTTCACAATATGATTCAAGTAAAATATCTAAACCATCTTTCCTAATCCTAGGGTCTAATATTGTAGCTAAACAAAAAAGGGGAGAAATGTTCTCCCAATATTTTTTTTTTAAATTTATTTTCCATAATTTTAATAATACATTGAAATTGTGGATTATTTCTATATTTTGCAAAACAATCACTAATTACAATAAATTGATAAGGTAAATTACAACTAGTTGGATAATAAATTCCAGATAATTCATTAGTTGCATCATAAAAATGTTTTAAAAAATCTCTTTTATAGACTGTCATTTACCGTCTTTCTCAAATATCATATCATTAGGCACTTTTGAATTATAAAAATCAGAAAGAATTTGTTTGTGAGATATACAACTTTCTAGCATAGCATAGGTAGAATTCCACCTATGCTTTACATCTAATATAAAATGTTTATATTTTAAACCATAATTTTGACATAAATATTTAAATTCTTGTTTTCTTGCCCCTGAACATTATATATATATAATACAATTTCTAATTTTTGAAATATGAGTAGAAATAATATTCAAGGCATATTGAATACATAAATTTAAGATGTGGCATGCACATATAATATGAAATAATTTACCATTTAAGCATGGTCGTAATTGAGATTTTAAAATATTTATTGCAGAATCATTATTGCTGGCATTATCAAAACTAATAAAAAATAATTTATTTTCTATTCTATAAGTGTGCAAAGTATTTAAAATACTTGCACCAATAGTCAGGCCACTATGTGGCCATTCAAGCTTAGTAGAACTTAAGATTCTTTTATTCCAAAGCCAAATTTCATCAATGAAATGGCCGGTAACACAAATATAACTAATATTAAATTTGGATGTCCAAACATCCGAAGTAATTGCAACTTTAGAATTAAGATTTGCTAACAAAGAAATTAATTTTTGTTTATATGAATGAAAATTTTTTAAAGCATCAGTTCTTATAAATATTCTTAGAAACTTTTTTATATTGTGGGTTTACAGAACTATGCAACAATTTTTCTAGCTTTGGATATTCAGCTAATATAAATGGTTGTTCTGCATGTACAATATACTTAGCAAGTTCTTGTCTCATTTTTTCTTGTGAATATTTAAAAGTACCAAAACTAGTCCCTCCCAATCCGTGTTTGGGTTGTTTATCTCCCTTCATCTTCTTCTTTCTCATGTTGAGAAGATGTATGCTCAAATGACCCGTACCACTCTTGCTACAATAATTAAAGTCCTTCCTACATTTTTGGCAAACGACCCTTTTTCCCTTCCCCTCAATATCCTCTACTTTGAAAATTTTCCAAATCGGGCTAACCAGCTTAGAGGCTCTCATTTTTCCCCTAATACCAGTACCGGGGGTGAAAGTTTCACTTCCATCGACATCAATTGCATCAGTACTAACACTATTATGATGCAATTGAATATCATCAATGGTGAACACATTGGGGAATCGGTTTTTAGAAGAGCCGACAATTTTTTTTTTAATTCTAAAACGATAAAAATTAATTTAATTTGACTTACCCGGATTGCTGGTTTAAAATCCCAACTTGATTTTAACGGTTGAAGCCTTTCAACGTCCAAGCCTCCCAAATTGATATACTTGAGCTGGTTGAGCAAACCTTCTTCTTGTTAAAAGTCGAAACTTCAATAAAGTTGAGACTTGAGAATTGGAGATTGCAAAATCAGACAATCAACTAATCAGAATTACTTAGATTGCAGAGAATTGAGAATGTATGAGTATGAGAGAAAGAGAGGAGATTAAGAGAATTGTTGAATTGGTGTGATGAAAATGGTGAAGGATAGGGCTATTTATAGGAATTGAACATAATTCAATTGTTCAAAATACCCACAAAATTAGCTATTATTTAGTTGTTGAGAAGGGTATTTTGGTCATTATAAAGTTATTTATAACTTTACCCCAAAACCCCCTAAACTAGTTGTTATATAATTGTTGGGGGGGGCATTTATGTCATTTTCCAACCTGCATAAGCAAAATACACAAATACCCCCCTAATACGACTGTTTATAACTATTGGGGGGGGTTATTTCTAAAAACCCCCCGAAAAGCTGAAACTAGCTGTTGGGCCCCTTTGGGGGAGTGGGGGCAATGGCTATATTCTTGGCAGGCCGAGCATGGTCCGCTACGGGTCCCACAGGCTGTGCCGTGCTGACCCGTGATGGGCCATGCCACGGGCGGCACGATATAAACTGTCGTGTCATACCATGCCGTGCCAAGCTGGTCCAAAATCGTGCCAGGCCACGACCGACCCATCCCGATTTACACCTCTATTCGAGATCACAACGGAAAGTTTTTATTTGCAAGATCTGTCATGAAGCCTTTTGCAGACCCGGAAATCACTGAAGCTCGCGCTTTTAGGGAAGGTCTTCAATTTGCACAGGAGCTGTCCCTCGATCATATTCATATTGAAGGAGACGGGCAGAAGATTGTTAATTACCTGTTTGACCTCAATTCTGAGATTCCTTGGCGATTGCACTCAGTAATTGTCGATTGAAGGTGCCTTCTGCAAGCTTTCCCACACTCTATCGTCTCCTATACCCCTCGTACAGGCAACAAAGTTGCACACCTGGTAGCTAAATTTGTTTGTAATCTCTCTCGTCCAACTACATGGTCGCTAGGCTCCTGATTTCTTAGGTCTGTATTGACAGAAGATCGTTTGCAATAAAGCAGCCTACGGACTTAAAAAAAAAAAAAGAAAACTAAATCCTAAATAATACCATTCATAGAAACGAAATAGTATTATCTGAACGCTTTACCTGTTCAGCAGGTAGATGTGTAACGATTTTGAGCCGGCCTGGCACAGTGGTTCACAGGCCGTGCCGGGGCACAGCACGACAGTGTGGGCCATGCCGCCCATGGCCCACGAGCTAGCATGGCCAGATAATTATATTATATAATTATATATAATATATAATATATAATATATAATATATAATATATTATTTAATTATTATATATATAATTATATAGACAATTGTATGTATCAAAATTCATATAAAATAAAAATTTAATGAAATAGTATTATCTGAGCGCTTTAGCTGTTCAGCAGGTAGATGTGCAACGATTTTGAGCTGGCCTGGCACAATGGTTCACAGGCTGTGCCGGGGCACAACATGACAGTGCAGGCCATGCCACCCGTGGCCCGTGAGCTAGCATGGCATGGCCCAGCAGGACCCATATATATTATATAATTACATATAATATATTATAATAATATAATAATATATAATATACAATATAATTATATAGACAATTGTATATATCAAAATTCATATAAAATAAAAAATGTTAAGATTTTTTTCAATATTTTTTAAATAAACTATTCATAGTCCATAGCCTGGCCAGGACTAGGGCTTGACCCACAGACCAGCCTGGCCCATGGCACGGCACAGCACAGGTCCACACAGGCTCGGGCTATGGGCCGTGTTGGGCCGACCCCCCCAAATATCTCAAGGGAGGGAGGCACGGCCCAAAACAGCCCACAAACTGGCACGACCTGACCCACACTTTGTACAGGCCATAAACAGGCCATGCCGTGCCAACCCAACATGGTCCATTTTATATCTCTATCAGTACGCTGTGGAACCAATAATAACACTACACTAAAGAGATTGAATGGTTATACGCCCCATGTATTTTATTACTTCCACTGGTGTGAAGCATTACCATTTATTCCACAGCCAGGTACACAGTTAAAGCGTTCAGCTAATCCAAATTCCTGAGAAACTACACTTGGTGAAAAATTAACTGAATACGATTAATTAACTCAATAGGATTTCTTTTCTGAATGGCAGGTGAATTTTATGTCCTAGGAATTTCATTTTTCTCTTTTGAAAACGTTGAGAGAGGGGAGAGGAGAAAGGTCTTTACCTTTTATCAAGAATCCCTTAAAGAGGGATCAAGAACAATAATATTTACTTTTGAGTTTAAATAAAGGTCATTGCTTGGTACAATGGTAAAATTTTGGGCTGATAAGTGTGATTTTGTGGGTGTGTATGAGAGCAGGCGCTTTATGCAAAAAATGCCAAATGCTAGGTCCACATCCGGTCCACCCCTTCCAAGACCTTTGAGAACCAGGAACAACATTGGGTAATGACCTTTTACTTGAGTTCTCCTGAATTGATGCTTAATATCCTCTCAGCAAGTAGTAAATCATCTGGAGTTGTAACCTGCAACCATTAAAAAGAGAAATTTAATTAAATTTGTTATGGTTCAAACATAAGAAAAAAAGAAAAGTTAAACATGAAATAGTTTCCCTGTCAAAGAGCACGATGCATAATGTGCAACTTTTCATGGCATGATCAGAACATATGACCAAATAAGAATATGCAACTTTCTGTTATACCAATTGAACAGAACCAAGCGACAGTGGTAAATCTTCACAACTAGCAGTGGCAATTGGGCGTGTTGGGTTGGATTTGGTTTGGATCGAGCTTCAACCCAATTCATCTAACCCGCCAACCCATTAATGACCCAGTTATATAAAATTAAATGGGTTGGATTCAACCCAAACCCACTTTAACCCAATCTAGCCCGCTCAAACCCATTAATTTTATATTTATGTACTTAAAACAAAAAACTAACTCCCTCTTGACAAATAAGTTGGTCATAGCTTGGTGGTAATAGTAATTACTATTTACACAAGTGAAGGTTCAAATCACATTATATGCATGCTATTTTTACACAAGCAGCGAAGCCATTTGACTATGTTCAGATTTCGGATTTGACCGAACCATTTAGGTTCAAACCGGTCAAACCAACTTGAACTATCTAATTGGATTGTCTTTGAGCTAATCACATCAAGAGTGGTTGAACCGTTTAGATCCAGATCAGTCCGGTCGGACCAGAATGGACCGGTTCAATCAATGACGGATTGACTTGGACTGGCCCATATCAGGTTTGGGCACGGGTTTGGGACCGAACCGACTGGCCCAATGCGGGTCAAGAAAAGTAAATTGGACCGGTCCGAAGTCGGGTCGGGTTGTACATATATAGCCAGCCTGGACAATTCAAACCAGGCAAAGCAAGCGGGCGGATTTAGGGTTCGGGCCCATCCCACCTGACCTGTTTTGGATTCGGGTCAGCCTAGATCGGCATATCCTAGGTTGGGTCGGGTTCGGGCTGATTGACCGCCCCAAACGAACTGAACCGAGGCGATTGGGTCTGTTCATAATTAGACCATGTTGAACTGGTCCGGACTCGGGTCAAGTTGATTTGCATTTATGTCGATTTGGGTGAAGTGTGTTGATTTGAGACAAAACTAATTTTAGTCAATAATTAATAAAAAATTAATGCATTAATTATAAATTATTTCATTCAGATGAAGAAAATTAAAAAAAAGGCCAAGAAATTAATACTTATATCTTCAGTGGTTAACCCAATGGTTATCCACAACCCAACCCAACCCAATCCATTTAAATTGACCCAATGGGTGATCAAACCCATTTCCACTATTCACAAATATGACAAAACAAGAATAGGATATTCCACTACCTTGATGTTTGTGTAGGATCCTTCAGTGATGTATACAGGATGTTTAAGGTGCTCAACAATAGAAACATCATCAGTGACTTCAAGTCCTTTTCTGTAGAAAATCATAAATTCTTGTTACACTTTTTTTCAACGCATTGTTCAGCTTGACAGGAAACAAATAGATAAACCTACACAACTTCCTCATCTCATGTAAAGGAATTCTCTAAACTAGGTTTCTTTTTAGACAAAATCCACTCTTCTAATATTTATTATCACTAGTGAAAAACCGAACCTGGTATATGAATTTGTTGCATCTTTACATGAAAACGGATAAAAAATTATTACTTAAGGTTGTGATTGGTGGATTTTAGTGCCTACATCATGGTAAGGAAAAGCAAGTTATGCATCTAGGACAACATAATATGTTTAAGTGAGTGCACAAAAGGCAAGATAGTGGAGGATGGTGGAGATAGACAAATATGTAGAATTAGGGGGGGGGGGAGGGTCCATTACTCTTTTCTTTTTTAACAAAAATAAACTTACCCTTCCATTATAAGGCTTATCAGCAATCTTTATTCTTGCTGAGGTTGCTGAGACTACGCTTTGCTTCATATAAATTAGGATTAGAAGTACAGTGCATGGCAGAAGGTATAAGTTGTGTTTCATGATATGGATGTGGGATAAAATATGCTGTTGTATAGATGCCTTTGGTGAAAATTCTTTTTATATGGTGGCATGGATGAAAAGAAAACAATGCATGTGAACAGATATTTTTACATTTAAAAAGAAGAGACAATCCTCTCTTTTAACACAGTACATATGAAAAATGTCAAAAGCAATTTTCTCTTCCGAGACTTCATTTTTATTAACATCTAACCAAAGGATAACATGCTAATGTAGATCAATATATATGAATTCAAAGAATGAAATCATCTCAGTCTGTTGATTGAAACATGGGTCACAACTTCTCAAACTTGGTGGTTGTAAGTGAACATTATTGTCAATGTAAGTTCATGATACTTCATAGACTTTTTATCCCTTTCATGATTGATTTAAATAGATTCAATATCACAAAATTGAATCAATGGAATGAAGATAACATACTTGTTGACAAGCTCAAAACCTTCTCTAAGCAATGAAGGTTTTATGACCTGCATAAGACATCTGATAAGTATCTTTAAAAAACTTACGAATGTGTACAATTAGAATAGTTAGACCAAAAACCAAGAGGAGCTTAAAGTGCTCTTCATCAATAACCTGTGGGGTCTGCATTTCCCAAAGTGTTTTCCTGTCCAGAGTTCTTACCACAAATGACTCACTATTTGCCTGCAACAAAGGTAGTGATAAGGATTAAGCTGAGATAAGATGTATATCTATTATAGAGAAAGACACAAAACAACAGAAAATTGGAACTGAATATCATGCTGTTGGTTTACAAGCCCTACTTGGCATTGACTAAAATTTTGATTCCTACAGTGTGAGCTTGTCTTCACTGCTAGTCCCAAGCAATGTTTCAATCCACCATTGACCTGGATGGTCAAACCATTTGAACCATCTCCTGGTCAAATTCTGGACCCGTTTTTCCTAAAGGAGGAAAGTTGTGTCAAGTTGGTTGCCAGCATTAAAACTTTGCCAAATTCTCATGAACACGGATCACGAGTTGTCTTTTCATGCTCATGCTAAGGCATTCTTTGGAAGTGATGTGCTACACCTTAACCCTGGTGTGGTGAGAAATGGAAAAGGGAATGTTACGATGTTCTCCAAAAGCAATGTGTCACAACAATGTCTGGTTGTGGTGAGAAATAGGCAAGGGTTCCCACATATTTTTTGACAATGGTGGGTAAACAAGTCAGTCCAAGAAATATGTATTTGATTAGCTTCTTTGAATGTATGAACATTAACAAGAAATATTACAGAATTAGTAGATACAATGAAGTGAAAAAGATTAACATTTCAAGCTTACAAGAAACTAAATAGAAGAGTAAAAAGTTAAAAGAAATTGATGGTTATAAACTATGGTACATGAGAGAAGTAAATAATAGAAAATGGAGTAGCAATATGTAGATAAGGATCTAAAAAAAGAAACAGTAATGTTGAAGGAGTTGGAGATAGAATAATGTTAATTAGACTTGTTTTAGGTGAGGAAATCGTTAACATAATTAATGCTTATGCACATCAATTGGATTTAGAAGGAAACATTAAAAGGCAATTTTAGGATAGCTTAGAATAATTTATGGGGCTACAAATGGATGGGATCAAATCTGGGTAGGGGTATATCGAAATTCAATTCAATAAGAATTTGAGATCTGTATTTTTTTTTTTAACAGAAAGGGACTACACAAGACGGGGTAGCATGTCCCCCGACATCACAGAAGCAAACAAAAGCAAGCAAGCAACAAAGGCAGCTCATTAATATTTACATTGAGCCCACTGAAAGCTGCATGTGTCAACCAGTCTGCCGCTTGATTAGAGTAGAAAAGCTCTGATATCTGTTTTGATATAAACTTTATGAAAAGAAGAAAGAAGAGAAAAGTTTTTGCTAGAAAAGAAAAGAAGAAATAGAAGAGAATGAGAGGAAGCCGGAAGAATTAAATCTGGCTGCCCCCTTCCTTTTAATTATATACTCGTAAAAATAATGTACAAGTTACAAGAACAAGTATGCCCTTAGTAGGTTGACTACTTATAAGAAGCTAAAAAGAACCACTTAACATAAACTAATGGGCCTAAGGCCCAATAACTTCCTAACTGAATTATGTAAATAAAAAATAAATAAAGTCGGCCCAATAAGAGAACATCGGCCCAATAACTCAACACTCCCCCTCAAGTTGGGAATAAATGCCACACATTCCCAACTTGCGTGGATCATGCTCCAGCTTGTTTCTTGCAACACCTTTTGTAAGAACATCAGCAAGCTGCAAATTAGATGCAACATATGGCAAGCAAACTTCCCCTGAAGTCACCCTTTCTCTTATAAAATGTCTGTCCACTTCAATGTGCTTCAACCTATCATGCTGAACTGGGTTTATGGGCAATGTTAATTGCTGCTTGATTGTCATAGTATAGCATCATAGGTTCTTCTGCCTCAATCCCAATCTCTCCTAACAAGGAACGGATCCAAAGGAGCTCTAAATCACCATGTGTCATGGCTCTGTATTCAGCTTCTGCACTTGACCTTGCCACAACTGTTTGTTTCTTACTCTTCCATGAAACTAGATTACCTCCAACAAGAGTGCAAACTCCTGATGTAGATCTCCTATCGTCTAGACACCTTGCCCAATCAGCATCTGTGTATGCCTCTAGCTTCAACTGTCCATGGTCAGTAAACAATATGCCTCTACCTGGGTGTCCCTTCACATAAGAAAGTATACTGTCAACCGCCTCCCAATGCTGAACTCGTGGGGCATGCCTGTATTGACTCACCACACTCACTACATAAGAGATGTCTTGTCGTGTCATACATAAATATAGCAACTGCCTCACTAATCTCTGATATCTCCCAACATCCTTCACTAGTTCACCTTCTGAAGCATTTATCCTGTGGTAGATCCAGAACATATACTACACTATACTACACTATCAAAACTGACACCAGGGACCCCCTCCTCTTTACAAACAGAGTATGATCTGATTGAGTCTGAGTATAGCCAAAAACAACCAAGGCTCTTCTAAACCTGTCAAACCAAGCTCTGGGTGATTGTTTCAAACCATATAGAGACTTCTTCAACCTACATACCTTTCCCTTTTCCACATCATCGTAGAAACTAATTGGAAGATCCATATACATCTCTTCTTGCAAGTCCCCATTGAGAAAAGCATTTTTCACATCATGTTGGAAGAGTGAGGGTGGCAGTAAGTTTAGCACCAAGTTTCTCCTTTCTGTCAACAAATCAAGCATACACTTTCTCTAACACACAAAGATACCATACTTGGATCTTGCATATTCAATGCCCAGGAAGTAACATAGCTCCACAAGATCTTTAATTTCAAGTTCAAAACTAAGAAATTTTTTAAGGTTCCCAATCTCCTTTACATCATCACTTGTCACCACAGTATCATAACATAGACTACAAGAATAGTCACCAAGGCATCTCTCATCTTCATAAAGAGGGCGTTATCTAACTGAGTCTGTATATAACCAATGCCAACAAGTGCACTTCAGAACCCTCTCAAACCAAGCCCATGGGGATTGTTTGAGACCACAAAGAAACTTCTACAATCTACATACTTTCCCTCACATCTCCTTACCATACATGGCTAGGGGAAGATATATATAAACTTCTTCATTAAGTCCCCCATTTTCGAAGGCATTATTCACAACAAATTGATATAAGGGCCATGAAAAGGTAGTTTAATAGAACCATACGCATGGTACTTAATGGTGTACACCCACAGACAACCAAGATTCAAAGAATCGATACACTTGATACGCACAAACATGCGTATCAGGTGTTTCAATACTATAAAGCATTATTTTTTTTATCCTTTTACCTTGAGATTTTCACAGGGAGTCAATTTTAATGGTTTAACATCTAACAACATAAGTTTTTGGAAATGCCTTAAGGCATTCCAGTGAGGCCATGATACAATATGATATACCCGATACAAGGCATATCATATCGAAAGGCATTCCGGTGAGGCCATGATACAATATGATATACCCGATACAAGGCATATCATATCGAAAGGCATTCCGGTGAGGCCATGATACAATATGATATACCCGATACAAGGCATATCATATCGAATTTTTGAACCTCACATACAACCATAATTGTCAAGGTGACAAGGCGCCCTATGAGGCTCGCCTCGCCTAATCTCAAAGCAGTTTTGTACTATGTATTATAAAATACTTTTTTATTCTTTATTTTTTGACATTATAATTATAAAATAGACTATTAAACTAAAATATTCATTTTGTGTGTTTATATACTAATTTATTTTTATTATTTTCTTTCTTGTTAGGGTTTAATCAATACAAACATTGCTAAATGCTGTATTGAACCCTCAAAGACTTTAAAAACTGAAACAAGTAAGGAAGAACTTAAAATTTTGTCTAATCAACACATTTTCTAGTACTACTTTTTTTCTTCTTTTCCTTTAACAAAAATAAGGGTTCAGCCCTTGTATTTTTTGAATGTTCTTTTCCTTCTTTTCTTCTTCTCATTAATATGTTGATTTTCTATACTTTAACATGAACTCTATACTTTTCTTATGAAAATTATGAATAATTATTAAGGAAATATGGTTATGGTACCTAGGAAACTACCCTAGGATCTATGTTTTCTACATAAAAAAAATCCACTGCCTAGGTAACTAGGCACCCCCCTGTCTCCTAGCCTTGCCTTGGTGCCTTGAAAACTATGCATACAACCAACAAGCTCCTTTCCTTTAGGAAAATAAAAAATACTCTAGGTATTATTCTTTTGCATTGTTACCATCTCATTTCTCATAGCACCCCTCAGTTTTAGTTGGGACAATTTTGACCAGCGTTTTCACCCCAAAATCGCTTTTTTGGCAAAAAACCATTGATTTGGTCAGTGAATTGCTGATCCTAGTGGTCGAACCATCGACTTAGACAATGGTTCTGGTCGTTTTGTTTTTTTAATTATTTTGTTAGAATAGGCCGTCCGTTCGACTTGGGAACCGGTCCCCAAAATGGTTCCTTGTCTGGTCTGGTTTTAAAAACCTTGCTTTTGACACATTTTTAGGGATAGTCTTGACAGTAAATCCGATTGAAGATTAAAGAAGAAGAAGATGAGAAGAGAAGAAAAGAGAAGAGGAAGAAGAGAAGGAGAAAGAAGGATTAGAGGCAATGGAACTGTACTGGCGGCGTCAGCTTCATTATGATATATAGGGCAAAAAAAAATAAGAAGGGAAATGACCCTTGTGCCCCCTACTATAAGTAAAGTACAATAATCAGAAAAAATAAAATGCTTTAATCATCCAAACAGACCCTAACAAAATAAAATCAAATTTTTCAACACTCCCCCTCAAGTTGGAGCATAGATGTCAATCATGCCCAACTTGTCACACAAATCATTATGCCGCACATGATGAAGACCTTTGGTGAAGATGTCTGCAAGTTGTTCTTCTGAGTTGACATATGGGGTGCACACTTCTCCATTCACAAGTTTCTCTCTAATAAAATGCTTGTCCA